CTTCAGAAGGGTGAAATCTTTTCTATGTTCTTTTAGCTATTTTTTTGTTTTCTTCTGCTTTCTGCACTGCTGGATTTTGGCATCCATGAGTCACGTGAGTGTTCCTCCTCTGGCCTCCGCCCAAGCCCCCGGTTAGACTTTCTGCATCTCAATGTGCTGGTGGTGGTAGTGGTGGTAGCAGTGATGTCTGGGCTGGCACCTGCCGTTGAGTTTATACACAGAATTCTTCTGCTGCCTTTTTTTGAAAAACCACAGGGCCAGCAGAGCTGCAGCCAGCAGCAAGAGGAGGAGAATCACCACGACCGCTATGATGGCGCCTTTGCTGGAGCTGGGACAATCCTCTCCCTCGCAGGGCTGGGAGGTGGGGACGGGCTTTTCTCCCGGGCCCTGGGTGAGGTTTTCCTGCTCAGCCAGTTCCGGGGATGACGTGCCGGTAACCGCGTCCGGAGCCGGCGCCGTGGTCGCCACTTGTGCTGGGGAGGCAGTTGTCTCCTCTGCTGCTGCCTCCGGAGCGTGCTCGGAGGGGCTGACTGTCCCAGAGGTCTCTGGCACGGATGTTTTTAAGCTGGTCATGTCAAACAGCAGCGTCGTACCGGGCTCCTGGGTCACCAGCTCCAGAGCTGTAGTCGGCTGGTCCCACGCGGCGCCGTCGTAACCTCTGCTCACACTGAAGCTCTCCAGACTGCTCACTGGGGTGAGTGGGATCGGTGTCTCTTGGGCCTCTCCATCCTCAATCCCTGTCGTTGCTGCCACGATCTGTGTCAAACCTTCCTCTGGAGCCAGGCTGCCGTCGCCCTCTTCTCTTACGCCGTCGTGATTGGGTTGGTCAGTCGTGAGGATGACATCCTCCTCTGTTCCCATCGAGCCATCAACTTTATCCCCCTCCTCTTCATCCTCCTCGACCACTTCTTGTGTCACTGGGTAGCCATCCAGCCAGGACTCGTCAGTGATGGGGGCTGCGTCCATCTCCGCCGTGGTACCGTTAGCTGCCAGCACGGGCCCCAGGGGGAAGTCCTCACTGTCATAGAACAGCTTGGCCCCGTGCTCCTCGTGGGCTGGCTTCACTCCAATGTGGTTATTGCCTTCAGAGAACTGTGCCCTGCTGGAGTCATCTGTCTCTTTCACTGATTCAGGCTCACCAAAAGCCTCTGATGGAAACCAAAACAAGTTCTTTTGGCTTAGGAGTGACACGGGGGACTCGGTGGGTGCCCTGCTTCCTTCTTCAGAAGCGTCTGTGTTCTGAGTAACTCCTTTGGTGCTTCCAGTTCTTCCTCCCCCTGAGCTTTTACCGAAGGAAAGCTGCTCCTGCTGCTGCTGGTTTCCCCCTCTGCCATTGGCATGGTCATTCTCAGCAACAGGTATCGATCTGTCATCGGGGAAGTTATCTTCATAGTCAATGTGTGCCTCCGTGTCATCTGCAAACAGCAAGAAAACCCACAAAACGTTTGATTTCTCCAGAAAAGCACTGGGCTCGTTTGCTACAAGAAGCCAAGAAGAAAGGTGCAATGGGGAGTGACTTCTAGACAGTATTTTTCATTCAGTGTCACTGTTTCTTTGCAGAGGGAATGGTCCACCATAAGCTGGCAGTCACCACAAGTTTCTTTTAAAAAAAATCAAGATAGGTGTCAATGCTAACTACTACTATCTTTACAGGTTAAAAAATGTATATAAATAACTTCCTGTCTGCAGTTAGAGGGCTTATTTTTGCTTATTTTTGAATTGTTATTGGTTTTCTGTGACCTTTGCTTTCCCTAGTGTGACTCTTTTTGAACAGACTTGAGGAACGATTTTCCTCCGATTCAAGCACGAAATGGATGTGGAGAGGAAGGTACAACAGAAAGTTATCCATGGCTAATGACTTTTTTTTAAAAACCCCAAATTAGAAGGTTTACAGCAACTTCACCCCTTTTCAGCCAGCTGAAAGAACTATCCACTATTATACACTCTCATTCCACGAGAGCTCTTCAGAGGTGCATGAGGAAGACCTCACCACCAAAGCTGGCACTGAGATCTGCTCATCTTCATCTGAAGAAAGCAAGAAGCACCCATGACTGCAAGGATAGAAGACTGTCTCCAACACTTAAAGCCTAGGCAGAAAGATAACACTATCTAGAATCAACTCTCAGGCTTCCAGTCTCAACAAACTAAATTTTACCAAAAAGAAAAGAGGAAAAAACCATCAAAACTAAACTGACAAAAAAAAATGAGTGCAACAAAGAGGCAGATTCATCACAAGGTTTGAGTTTGATTTAGGAATACTCCCTGTGCCTCAACAGACCTACCACTCATCGTAAAGTAGACTTGACTCAAAGCCTGAATCTAAATGTTTGCATTTTAATGAAATAATGCATTGTGATTTATATTTCTTCCACTCTCCTCAAGCCTCAGCTCAATGAAGGATTTTCCTCACTAGACAGGCTCCTTGATTTTCAGCTCACACAAGTTTTACTCCATAGAAAGCTGATGTAATTGCTGAGATTTATGCTGGCATTAAAAGGCTTAGAAAATAGTGCCTTGGGATATGGAAAATAAAACAAACTGAATCGTGGTAAGAATTTTTCTTTTTAAGAGAGTGTTTAGTCTTTCATGAAGACAGTGAAGCAAGAGACCTGGCATGGCAGAGGAAAGGAGAAATTCACAGGAGAAGCTGTATTACAAATCAATGCACTCATAAAGCCTTATCTTTTTTTGGCTTTTTTACACTCAACCGACTTTGAATCACATTTTCATCTGGGGCCCACCTCAATTTCCAAATGAGTCACACTCTCCTTGGAGACAGCTTCCCAGACTTCTGGCAGAGCCACGTTGGGTCGACTCTTAAGAAAGATTAGAAGCACTGCTGAAGCAGTCTGACCAGAAACACCTCGTGGTGACACAGCTCACACCAGCTCACTTTTTGCCAGAGCAGCTTAAGCCAGGTGCCAGAACAGAATGAATATGAGCTAAAGGTATTTTTCTTGGAATAGTGTCCATGTCTACCAGAAACCAAAGCAGTTAGGCTGAGGAAGCTGAGATGTGTGACAGCCTGCAGAGAGTTAATGCCTCTGTGGAAGCTACCATGGGGGAGCTGGAGGTTCTCAGCAGGTCCCTTCAGCTCACAGCAAGGGTGTAGGGTGATACCTGCACACAGCAGTGCCAACCACAGTCCACCCTCCCTCCCAGCATCCTCATCTGCTCATGTGCAGTCCTCTAGATCCTCCCCAAAGCAGGAAATAGCTTCTGTCTGGTGCAAAGACAACTTCCTAGACAGAGGAATCCAGGTCTCCAAGTAGAAAGCTTCCTGGTAGGACTCTCGCTTTTCTAATTCACCCTAAAATCCTTTCCAACATGATCCCAGACTTTTGTCAAGGACTGGAGGGTGCCTCTGAACACCAAAGCATTTTAGCAGTGTACTTATGAAGCTCTGTGGGGCACTGCCCATCTCTACATAGCACTTCAAATAGCCATCAGATACTAGCCTCACTTGGTCCCTTGTCTCAAGACTTCTTCTACCTGCCATTCTCTTTGGATGGAGATGGTTCTCCAGCCATTTTGTCCTCTTACCACCCAGACTCCTGCCAAAAGCTGATACCTGGCATGCCTGCTGCACCACAGCCCAGTTTTTACATTATGGTGGCCTACTGCATGCACATGGGCATGAATAAAACCTACAGTCACAAGCTTGTTTCCTCCAGACCTGTTTCTCAGTTGGGAACATGAATGGGCACCTGGGATTCACCTTCTTGACCAGTGTGGATCTCTGGTGAATGCTCAACAACTGCCTAATATGCTTTTTATAGAATTTGAAGCTCTTCCCCTTTGGAGCCTCTTCTGCCAGGTGCTTCATGGACTTTAGGAGAAAGTCCTAGGGAGGCACCTCAGGAGAGAGCCTGTGCTCCAAGGAAGATGGGAGTCCTCAGTCCATCAGAACACATGAAGGGTTTGTTGAGCCATCAGTCACGTCTCCAACAAACCTGCTGTCCTTGGGCCTGATCCTGCACGTGTGGAACTGAATTGGTGCTTTCTTAGTGCCCAGCCAAGGGAAGAAAAAGCCCATTGTGGTCTGAGAGAGCCTGGGATGGGAGCTCATTAGGCACTGCTGGGCACCACATAAGGGAGTCTTGTTCTTGTGGCCCAAGCTGTGAAGCTGCTGGGATGTATTTTCCTCTGCAATCTCCCATATTTAGTCTTTGCTATAAACTAGACATCAACATAACTAATGTTAGCTTATGGGAGGCCAGCATGAAAGCAGCTATTGAGCTCTCTAACCATCAAAGGCAATCCAGACCTCCTCACTCTGAAGCTTTGATTTATACCATCCTGAACTGACTTACACAGTAATAATGTTTTATTCTTTCTCCTGGGCCTCAGACCTTCAGATGGAGCTTGGACTTAGTATTTAGGCAGTTTGTGTTACCATGACAATCTTTTAGTCAGCCATGAGCTTGATTTTCCAGGGGCAGCTCTCACAGCTCTTGCACTTCTAGTATTTAGGCAGTTTGTGTTACCATGACAATCTTTTAGTCAGCCATGAGCTTGATTTTCCAGGGGCAGATCTCACAACTCTTGCACTTCTTTTTTGCTCACCTCCTGAGCACTTTCCTGAGTTTTCCAGCCCCCTGAATTTTAGTCTTGCAAGACTGAAGAGCAACCCCCCCAAAGCAGATTCAGCTCTACCTCTCATCCTAGTAGTTGTAGGTTGTATTTATACACATTTTACTGATAGCAACTGATTTAAAGGTGGTTGCATCTTCCTTCTTATCCAGGCAGGTCTGGTTTTAAGAGCCAGCACTGAAACTAATTAGTCTGACACCAAAACCTTTCTATATTGGGTCATTGTTACATCTTGCCCCAGCCCTCCTCAGCTGGCAGACTCAAGGATCAATGAGTCTGGATCTGCTGTCTGAGGGATTAGTGAGCCTGAAATGAATATTGCACAGCAACAGATGCTGAAATGGCATACTACCAAAGATGGGAAGCTCAATTAAAAGGCAAAATTCTTTTAATTCAGCTTTGTCCTTGCTGGGAAGCTTCCAGTCCTAAAGGGCTTTCATGTCCTTCAGCTTTTGATCCTAATGTGACAACAGTGACCAAACAGAGACTAGCAAACCCAAGGAGGCTGCTTTTCCACACTCCAGGATCACTTTCATTTTTCTTCTAGATAGCACATTGGCATCCAAGCTCTATTTTGAGTGTTGCTATTTTGGACAGCCATAAAGTGCCCTGCATATTTTGTGGATGTATTTTTGGAGTACAGGAAATTGAAACTTAATTCTATGTAGCTCATCATCATAAATATTTCTACTGTATAAAAACCATCTTCCTTCTACTGCATAAAAACATCTTCCTTCTAAGAATCTCAGAGGAGTTACAGCAAACATGAACAAGCCAGCATCCATCTTCAAGAGTGAGAAGGAAAAGAGCATGTGGACCAGTTTGCCTGAGGTCAGATCTGTGTTCCACAGCACCCCAAAGATTCATCCATTTGACTTGGATCAGGCACATGAACCCACCTCTGGGTGTGCTGGGGAGACATTGTGTTGCCTTTTGTCTTTTGCAGGAGCTACCAGAAGGAAGATGATTTTTATTCCAGCAGGAAGCCTGCTAATATAAATAAATAACCCTTCATAATTTTTCAAACTGATTTGATTTGGCAGAATCAGTTCATGCCAGATCAATACTTTATGTTAATCTCATAAAACTGCTCTGTGACAGACCTGAAAAGAGAACCAAAGTTTGTCACAGCCATTCTTCTGACAGGCCATGGACTTATTTTGTTGCTGATTTTGTCTGTCACAATTCTCCCTTTGCACTCACAGAGGGAGAAAAAAAAGCATTCCCAAATAAGATCAAAAGACATTTTGTTTTACTCTCCCCATTCAAAAACTAAAAGCATGAAAGGGTGCTGGCTGGCCATGCTTACAGACCACATGAATGAATGAATACTTGAAAACTCAGAAAGCAGTGTTTGAAGTAATGGGAAAAGTTGAACCAGACAGAAAAGAAAGCCTAGAAGCTGCAGATGAAGCTTTTAGAGGTGGTCAAAATCAGCCCAATCCTCCTTACACTGAGATCAGAAGTATGGTCCTCAGTGTGGAGATGTCAGACCAGCTCTGAAAATCCTCAACAAGCATCCAAGTGTTGAGACATTCCTTGGCCATGCAGAAGATACCACCTCTCCTGCCATAAGCTTACAGTTGGAAAACCCCACAGCAGCCAAGGGAAAGGAGAAATAGATGGAATTCTTCTTCAGGACAGAGATGGGATGTGATTTCCCATCCAGCCCATCAGCCTTCTCTTTGAAGAAGCAAACCCTCAAGGTGGAGTTTCTCCCTCACTGAAATATTCATATTAATGCTTCTAACATGGAGCTTATGGTTCATCTGGGGAAAACCCAAAGGTCATTTTAGCAACAGCCACTTTAGTCTCTGTGCCT